GCATGAATTCGTCTAAATAAAACTGTTTAAGTATAAAGTTAAATTATGCAAAAGAAATCACTTTTACTTAGATTTTCGTAAAAGTGATCTACTAAAAAAGGATTTTGATTAATTAATAATAAAACTAAAGCTTTCCAATCAAAAGTGCAATACCTTTAAAACAACTACATAATTTATACAACAATAATAGTAATAGTTTTTTTAATGCTATAAATCATTTTAAACTAACATAAACACCGGGGTAAACCATTTTTCCTTTATGATGTATACAAGGAATTTGCAAAAAAATTTAGAAATTTAGGCTGTACATAAGGGGGTAAAAAGGGGCGTCAAAGTTTGTATTGTAACATTTTTGGTTGTTGTCGTTAGATTTACCTGAAGCTTGTACAATTAATTAAATATCTATTTTACGAAGCTGCTGTTTGATTATTTAAATCAAGATAAAAGGGATTCTTCATGGCCAAATACATCAACAGTAAATATGCAATAAATGATTTACTAGAAGATTATGTCAAAATTATATATCAATTAACTAATTAACATAATCCACATACATAACATAATTTTCACCCTTAGCTAATAATCTAATTTCCTTCCCTAATTAATTATCACAAAGACTTTTTATATAAACAAAGCTGACTTACAATTTCAAACAATACCTAAATATAATAAATACAATAAATAATACAAGGAATAAACTATAATAAATTATTATTACATTTATTCTTATAAATTGTGAGTTAGTTTTGCCTATAAAAAATGTTACTGATAATTATTTAGGGAAAGAAATTACATTATTAGCCAAGGGTGAAAATTGTTATATTGATAACGTTCGACAGCACCTAAAAAAATTGAACTGATTTTTTTAACGTAATACCCTTCGTAAGTCTCATGTCCTTTAGAATCCTTTAGTGCATATTTATTGTTGATGTTTTTAGTCCTGAAGAGGACTTTTTACCTTAAATCAAAACGTTGACAATTGATCATACAGTGAATTAAATTAAAAGTTATTACCTTTACTAATGAAATTTAAATATTTTCAAAATAATGAATCGAGAAAAGTACAAATTTACAATTTTTTTTGATACTTGAATTTTAACTTGTAAAGCAAATGAATTAATTGTAATTAAAAGAATACTTGTATGAGTCATAGTTGTAGTAAATTCAAAATATAATAAACCTATTTTTTTGTAGTAACTGTTCATTGTCACTGAAACTACATTTTTCAATTTCAATATTTTTTTTCATAAATATAAAACAGTAAATTATTTCTGGAATATATATCGTGCAAAATAATAAAGGTAAATCGAACAATAGTAGCAGCGAACAAATAAAAACATCAATGGGGCCTCCTATACAAAAACTGAAAATAGAATAACCACAATTTTGCAAATAATCAATAAAAATTGTATCGATCTGCAAGAAATTTTTTTTGATTATTTACAAACAGATGTTTTCAACAGCTAAAATTTCTTCAAAAAAATTTGAGTTGAATATCTTACAAAAAAAATAGAGGCTGAAATTTGGTTTGTTTACCAAATATAAAAATTACAATTAGTGGGAAATAGTTTAAATAAAAAATAAGTTAGGAATATATCAAGACATATATTTTAAAGCGATTCTATTTAAAATTGTGCAAATAAAAGGAAGTTATTTTATCTGTTAAATGGTTTACAATGTAGTGTAGATAACATCAATTTTGAAGACCTACCTTTTCGTATTTTTTTATCGGAGCATCGCAATTCCATTTAAACGACACCACCTAACCAACTCAACACTCGATACGCACTGCGCGTGTGTTATTTTATTTTTATTTCAAAGCTTCAGTTCGTCAAACTTCGTTGTTCTTCGATTCACCCGAAAATGACATTAGAATTAACGCTTTTGATTGGTTGTATTTCAAATTGCTTTTCAATGATTTCAATTCAATTAGTTATTTTGTGTTATGCAACCCATTTTACAGAGGAGTATAGATGAAAACAAACACTTAAATTAATTTAAAATTGAGATAATCGTAATTCTGGTGTAATGATTTTAAAATGATTGTATATAAGTAAACGCATTAATATTGTAATTTTAAAATATAAATGTAATAAAAGTTACCAACTTTTTATTTAAACAGTTTCCTCAGAAGAACGCAAGAAAACGTTTACGATGTTATTTAATGGTTGTAATGTTCATTTATTGAATTTTAAAGTATTTTTAAATATATGGTTTATTATACAGTGAATAAAATATTAAATTCATTTGGAAAAGAACGCACTGATTCATTAAAATTCAGTTCATGACACACATTGCATTTATTTACACTTCATATCATTTACGATTGAAGCGGACAGCTTGTCGGGCGCTCTTTAAATACGAATAACGATGCAAGTGCAAGATGACGGGAATATGATACTTTTTGTATACTAAAAAAAAAAAAAAAAAAAAAATTTTTTGATCATAGTCAAATTCTCTATATTTCAACAGATCATAAATCATGCCATAAGTCCCCACAAAAATAATATAAAATAATGTTTTTGTACATACCTTATTTTGACAATTCTGAAGAATCTTCTTGGTTCTTTATAAACACTATTGTGGTCCCATCATTCCCATGGGTATATTAACGGGATAGCCGGGCTGACCACCTTGTGTCATCTGCATAGCAGGAGATTGGATTTGTTGGACTCCACCAGGAGCAGGGCTTGGTTGTTGAGGATCAGATGATAGGGTCAGGTTCATAAGAAGCTCTCGAACAGCAGGGAGTAAAGAACATTCTGAATGATTGCTCTGGAACTGGGCAAAGTGTTTGAGGAGCTGACTCGCAGCCGTCATTGCAGGCGCGGGTCCCGCGTCCCGTTTTTCTGCCAATTGTGTTATATTAGTGCTAATGTCGTATACCAAAGGCAGAACCAGAGAAGGAGGTTCCATACTGTTAGGATATTGGACACCTATACGTGTTATTTGTAACTGAAATGAGAATAATACTTGAGTTAAATAGCTTTTGAAAAGAAAAAAAATACTTACAAAGAATAGTATTTTCGTTCTATAAACGAGGACAGCTGCCATTCCTGTAGGAACTATGGGAATTGCAGAAGGAGGTATCCTGAGCATCCACTGGACAGACCACTTGAATCCCTGCTGTTGGCACAGCTGAGGCATCAAGTCCAGGCGCATAATTTGTACAAAGTCCTTTAGGATATTGACAGGAACGTTTAGCATACAACAAAATCCAAACATCGAAATTGGCTTATATGGAGGGGCTGCAGCTCTCGAATCGAAAAACTTCTCAATCATCTTTAAAAATAAAAAAGGAAAATTTTAGATACAATAAATATGATACCAATAGTACTTATACTATTGGTACTTATAAATAAATAGAAATATAAGAAAAAAATTCTTACTTGTAGTTCTTCAGAATTCCAAACGTCTTTTGATTCAGGCGTAGGTGTAATCTTTAAATGCAATGATTGCAAATGTTGGGTGTTTAAACCTATACGACACTGAAGAGTGTCTGCTACTTTAAAATGAATCACACCAGGCTCTGTCATTGGTAATGCTGTTAACTGGAAAAAAGTTTCATTTATTATATTTTATTCATAACATATATTTTAAAGCGATTCTATTTAAAATTGTGCAAATAAAAGGAAGTTATTTTATCTGTTAAATGGTTTACAATGTAGTGTAGATAACATCAATTTTGAAGATCTACCTTTTCGTATTTTTTTTATTCTATAAGTATCGGAGCATCGCAATTCCATTTAAACGATACCACCTAACCAACTCAACACTCGATACGCACTGCGCGTGTGTTATTTTATTTTTATTTCAAAGCTTCAGTTCGTCAAACTTCGTTGTTCTTCGATTCACCCGAAAATGACATTAGAATTAACGCTTTTGATTGGTTGTATTTCAAATTGCTTTTCAATTATTTCAATTCAATTAGTTATTTTGTGTTATGCAACCCATTTTACAGAGGGGTATAGATGAAAACAAACATTTAAATTAATTGAAATTGAGATAATCGTAATTCTGGTGTAATGATTTTAAAATGATTGTATATAAGTAAACGCATTAATATTGTAATTTTAAAATATAAATGTAATAACAGTTACCAACTTTTTATTTAAACAGTTTCCTCAGAAGAACGCAAGAAAACGTTTACGATGTTATTTAATGGTTTCATAGTAGCACGATAATGTTAATTTATACTGTGGAGAATAGATAATTCTCATAACAGCTTAATAAAGAGCAATTAATATTGATTATGTTATGTAGTTTTTTCCAGTGTGGNATTTGTATAAATTATGAATAGCTTACGTAATTTTCGTTATGCACAAATCTTTGTAACTGTCTACGCATAAACACGCATCCTAGGAACCTCTCAAGAGGGGCTAATTCAGGTCCAGGAAGCCCTTGTGGATGTGGCGAAGGGCAACAAAGGGTTTCCAAAGCTTCGTGTGTTAGTAACGTAGGAACCGCTCCGGCCCAGGACCTTTGGGGTAACACTCTTGACAAATGACCTCCTTTTTAAGGAAATAAAACGTTATTTTATTTAGTAAATATAAAAACGAAAATAATACTTACCTATTTTTAAGTCTGATTGAGGACTATGCATAATTGGGCCTCCGGGAGACTGCCCTGGCCTAGCAGGTGAAGGTCTAGGGACACTTGGAGAGCCAGGCCAGTTTGAGGCTGCCGGGGAAGTCATACTTTGTGACGAAGGAAAAGGACTCCCATCGGAATGACCTTATAAGCAAGAAATAAATAATTAGCGACAGTAATTAATAATTTAATTATAAAGCATACCTGCCTGTTGCATAAAACTACTTCCAGGTGAATGCCCCGGCAAATTGGTAGATGATGGTCCTGGAGACGAATTTGATAGCAGACCCCCAGGACTTGGCACGTGAGGATTAAGAGGCGAGTTGGCGACTAAACCGGATCCAGGACTGGGATGTGGTAAAACTGGCAATGGACTAGGGTTCACATTTCCTGGTAGAGAGGTAGGAGACGCCAAACTGAATGATGTGGCAGGACTGGAGCCAAAATTCGTGTGACTGCTTGGTTGATTAATATTTGAGGTGTGTGGACTTGCCGGGGTATGTGGATTCGAACCTGATGGTGGGGTGAGAGGAGGGTGGAAACGAAGACCAGTCTCACGTTGTTGAGCAGGAGATTGAGGTCCTTTATGATGACCTAAAAAGTAAATACGTTATTTCTAGTACTCAAATAGCAGGAGTCAGATAAAATTGCAAGGATGTAAACAATGAATTTACCTAAAAATCCACCGCTTCCCTCTACTTCCATCGAAATGGGCGAAGGTGGATTATCGTCTTCTGACTGCGATCTTCTTCTAAACACAGCACTTTCGTCAACGTATTTCGAAAGGAATGCTTTCAGCCCTTGAGTGGGAGTAAACACATCAACCACGTTGCTTCTGTCGTATCTGCTATATGCCCCGTCTCTTAAAGAAACTAATCCGCCTCCGCGTAATCGTAATTCTAAACAATACATGCCCTGATATGCCAATCTTATTAAAGTGCACGACTGAGCCATCACCGTGAACGTTTGGACGGGAACTTGAGGCCTCTGCTAATAAAAGTTGGTTTTTGAACATGTCACCTTACAAATCTTGCAACACAGATTACATTTAAGCAAGAAGTTGAATTATTGTAATTATGCTAATGCTAAAATGCTTTTACTTACTGTGTTGTAAACACCCAGTTGGGGTAAAGAGGGAAGCTTACTGATAGAAATGAGGGGTTCATAGGACTCATTTAGTAACTGAATAATCTGCGCCAAATTACGATGTTGATTTAGATGAGCTTCCAGTTGCTCCCTTATCAAAGAATGGGCATTTAAGGCATTATTATTTGCACCGAACGCCAATTTGAAAACCTTTTCACTGTTATTCCAATTTATTGATACTATTGCTCCTTTCTCTTGACCATAGTATAGAATCAGCTTACTGTAGTTGTAGGATTTTACACTAAACATATTTGATAGATTGTATTTGTCTGCAAAATACAAAAAAAAAAATAATTACTCTCCTAAAGCGTTTACTCATTAACTCATAAATTATAAAAAGATATGTCACCTGAAGAAAGGTATTCGCTGAGATCATGTACAATCATGTACAAATGTACAATTTGATACCAGTCATCTAACAACGAGTCAACAGTCCGAGTAATGGTGTCTATAGTTCCCATATCATATTGAAAATATACTGGTCTACGATTACCTGGAAAAGAAAAATAATAAAATAGAAATAAATGCAAAACAAAAATGAATTAGAATTTCCTATTTAATTTAAAATTACATAAAACTGCTCCTACCTTGTTCTTTAGGATGACTGCTTATTAAGGGACTGGAATAGAAAACAAATTCTGTCATCCAGCTTTTTTGCATTCCTTTGCTTTGAACCCTGATTGAAACCGATAACATTCTCTTAAGTAAAGCCTGCCATGCAGGAGATTGGCCAATTTCAGGAGTTGGGGGTGGTAACTGAATTAATCTAAGAACCAACCCCGTAGCATTTGCCTCCACTTGCAAACCTTGGTGGAATATACTTCGATTTGTCAACTATACCAAAAAAATTAAAATATTATGAGAAAATAGAAAACTACAAACAAAAATCAAACGGTTCTATACGAGGCAAGCTGGTCTTTTTAATCAAAAAATGTATAAAAACGCACCTCTTTTGTCAATGTGATAAACGGAAGTCTTTCGTCACACATTGCAACGACATGAGCAAGTTCTGATATAAAATAAGCTGGCTGTTTTGATCTTCTGGTCCCACATTCCATTTTGTTAGTTGAAGTTTTACGTTTTAATCCGCTACTTTCATTTCTTTCAGTGTCAATTTCTTCTATAAAAATATCTTAATGTATTAAGAAATCCTAAAGAGTATAATAAGTTTACTCTTACCATCGACATTTGTAAATGGACCATGGGTAACAACGAACGTGTCCAGTTCAATTAATGACTGTACTTTAAGGTAAGATTTAGGAATTTCTGTTTCTATAGTATCATCGTTTGGGTTGTCTTCAATACTTGATTGCTTTACAACAGCTAAATAAAAAGAAAAGCCGACTTCACACGATGTATTCTCTTTTTCTTTCAATTCGACAATCTACAACAGTTTTTTATCAATAGAGATCAAAGGACAAAAAACAATTATGTTACCAAAATAACGTTTGGATGTCTATGTAGTTGAACGCACATCCTATGGCGTCCTATTTTTGTGAGGGGATGATCGGCGTAATGTAGGAGGGGTAGACGTTCGTGAGCTGTGGCAGGAAGATGCTGGAGTGTTTTTTCGCATCGACGTTGAGTTATCCAGTACCTTAATTCACTAATAAGTACTGGTAGCCGAGCATGGTCTCCATTGAGCGAATTCTGCAGTTCGGGTATTAGAGGAGCGTCATACTGCGGAACTTGACACTGAAGCATCCCTGTGTGAGTGTCAACGGTTATAAGCAACTGTTCCGCGCGAAGACACGGCTGTAAAATTGCCACTGATAAAATTGCAGGGGATCCTTGTAAATTGCCTGTAACAAAACAATACAAATAAAACGTAAAGAATACAATTTATTAAAAAGGTCATATATATTTTTTTGTTGTAAAATATAAATATAGTGCAATATGTATAAAACCCTCAAAAACTTAATATACTGTATGTTTAATAATATAACATCCAAGTGTTATGAAATATTATTTACTTACATTCAACATCTTTAAGCATTCCTTGCAATTCCTGTTTTATGTCAGACAACCTGCTGCGAGTCCTTACATAAATTGTGTGTACCAAAAGCCTTTCCATTGAAAGAAGTTCACATCGGATAGCCCTATCGGCTATTTCACTTTCCTAAATTACAATAAAGAAACATATACAATACAATTAAGTGTTTCCCATTTTTTAGAATTTACCTTGCTTCCTAGTGATGGAACGTGCTGAACTGACAGAGGTCTTGCTGAATCGTGAGGATCGACTTGGACGCTCAGTTTATAACCCAATTCTGATCTCAGATCTTTATTTGAATTATCTCTTCCTTTTGTAGTTAACTCCCTAAAAAAATTAATTTAAATTGTAAAATCCATCTATAAAAGGTACTAACAACAAAATTTACGCATTTTATAAACTGAAAATTATTTTAATACCTCCAGTAGGATATTGTCAAACATCTTCCAGGAACATATTCATCTACATGGATGTGATCATCTAGCCTGTCTCTCATTAAACGTAATGTCTGAGTGTACAATACTTCAAGTTGTAAGGATTGGCAGAAAAAATGCAAACAGTTGTAAACTTCTGTTAATGGCAAGGGATTGTCAACTAAACGTGCTTGTATTAGTTGATGAATGTACTGAACTTGCAAGGGATGAACCAAAACTTTTCCATCTAATGAGAAAAAAAATTAAAGAAAAAACGCGAAAACTTTCGGATGACTTCTGCATATTAGAAATATAGTGTTCACTAAAAGTACTGATTTTTTTTCTTGTAACTGCAGTGTTTTACGAAAAACAATTAGTTTTTACCTCCGGTTTCCTTATCTTCAACAAGAATATCGATTTCTAAAAGTCTCCAAGGTATGTTTGGGCCATCTCCCATAACAGTTAACGAAACTTCAAATTCGCGTTCCACATGAAATGTTACACGACCGTTTTCTATCTAAAAATGATAAATTAAAAATTAATGAGATGGATTACTAAATGTAATACTTATTAACAAAAACAAAAAAAGTTTTTGTATTTCACACTACCTTTAAATTTCTCATTTGTGGTAGAAGATTCCCTGTAACAAGTCGATGTTGAATGACCTGATTTAATCTCAGCAAAGTGGCTCGTTTTTCTGCATTAGTAATAGGATCGGGGGGCACAATTCGATCCCGAATACAAGAGGGCAATCTTCCGTAAGTACCTGTGGTCAACACCTCTACAGCAGCAGGTATATGGAAATTTGGTAAACGAGCTTGCACAAGAGTTTCCCGAGCCATTCGGGCTAGCATATCTGCTGTTTCTACGAATAGGAGAGACTGCTTATCCAAAAAGGCCATAATCCTCTGAAAAAAAAATGTTTTTTGTGTTCATTAAAGATTCAGGTAACAGATGGCAGTGTACTGTATATTCACAATGAAATAATGAACGCGAATCTATAAAACTGTAAAAGAATTTCAACTCGGCCTTCCTTGTCAAGGGGAGCAGAGTGCGTCAATGAACGTATAGTGAGACCACTTATGCTGACACCCTGTATATATATCCGCACCCACATCATTAGTGACTGAGTGCAATTTTTGGAATGCCCTCTTACTTTATAGAGGGCCAAATAATAAACAAACAAATTAATAAATATGAATAATTAGTAGCTGCATTATGTATAAATATAAAAGTGTTATCACATTATTACCAAAGTTTCACAAGCTTTTCAATATTAACTATTATTTCTTTAGTTCAGTATACTTGTAGAAGAGTTAATTAAAATAAATTTTCTTAGTAATTAGCATAAAATAAAAGTATCACAAAAAATCTAACTGCAATAAAATTAATTAAGTATGAATGACTATATGCTCATTTTGATTAAATATTAGTATGAACAACACTTACAGCAGATTTTTCTACTTTTGAGGCACTGCTAGCCCACTTTACCAGTGCTAGTAGTCTGACAAATAACTGTCTAGTTCTCGCAGCAAAGCTGTAGATTTCAATCTTCCTCTCCATATCTGTTTTACGTGGGAGTCTAAAAAATGCCACAATTATGGAATATAGTCTCAACATATTTTACAATTTACACACTAAATTTACTTACAATTCTGCTAAAACAGTTAATTCGTGGTATGTTCTTTGTACAATAAAATCTATAAGCATTGCTAAAGAAATCTGTCCTCCCCTGTTGCCTTCTTGAGGGGTGGCATATCCGCCCTGTGACATGTTACTAATAGCAGTTGTTTGTATCCCCTCAAGTGGTACTGGGGCCATGGTATTGATTGTGTTTCTTGGGACCTCAATTTATTCAACACTTCAATTAATCTGTAAATAGTACAAAATACCACTTATAATTTTCTATATCATAATTGGAATATAAGAATTGAAAAGCATTCATTTTTTAGCAGTAAAATATAACTGTACATCTCAATAAAAGTATACTAACCTCAAAAAAATCCAGTTGGTTTAACATATTACAAACGAATTGTGCTCTTTTCTTAATAGGTATGAAATAATACTTTACATATATTTTGTGTATTTACGTTTAAATATCATATTTCAAAGCTTTTTGAAATACAATTAAACAATATTTTTGATAAGTACTGACACTTTCACAATTTGAAGAAAGACTGTAAAGTAATTTCACTGAAAACTCTATATTATGATGCACGTATTACACCAACCATTAGATGAAAGAAAATATAAACATAATTAATCACAGGCTTTTAAAAGTATTTCTTATTTCAAAATAAAATAAAATTGGCACCTTTTGCAATCACTACAGCAAAATAAAACATACATAACCATAGATGGTTAACTGAAGTTTTGTCTATCATAGACAAGTCTATGCTGAAGTTTGTTACGTTACGTTCACACATTTGAAACGAAGTTGGAACAAAATTGTCTGTTGTGCCATCTTTCAAACAGTTTCTAAAGTTCAGAACTATCAAAATCTGCTGTTTTTCGTGTATTTACGTTAATCAGGATTTTTTTTAAAAATTATTTAGGAAATTTTGAAGAAGCGTTTTAGCTTATTGACATTTCTAATAGTTTTGTTATTTGTTAAGAATAAAAGTTTCCATCAAGTATTTCCTAGGATTGTTTGGAAGCATAAATCTCCGATAATTGCATGTCAAACCAAACAAAACGTAGTTCATTGCGGTTGGTTTGTGGGTTGTGATTTTAGTTAAGTTTTCAAGTTGTTTGTCATGGAGATTAAATATTTTGACAATACTTTCATTAAAAGTTACAAGGTGGTTTTGTTGAGTGCAAAGACAGTATTGGTGATTAATAAAGCAATGAAAACTATTTAATTTGATGTGTAATAAATATTGTGAGGCCGCTGAAAATGGCGTCCGACAATGAAGCTTCTTGTGATAATGATCCAAACTTTGCAGTTATTTGCGGTTTTCTTGAAAAGTTTGGTATAACATGCGGATTGTCGGACATAGACTTTCTAGACTTACAGGAAATGCTTGAAAACACACAAGAAGGTAAGGCTACTTATGAACTAATTTTTTTATAACGCAATTACTGCTTTCTCCCCTGAAAATATTTCAACTATAAACTTAAACGTACTTAATGTAATGTGTAATTGGTTTACTTAGTACAACCTATAATATTACAAAGATTTTTCTGAAGAAATGTTCTTGCATACTATAGTATCCAAATACTTGGTGGACATGCATGTGAAACTTTTAAGAAAAATTCGAAAGTCAGTTACTGCAGAACGTTGGGAAAGGAGTTTAGTAAAATTCTGCCATGAATTTAGCAGTAAGGATGCTTGGGAAATCGAACGATTTGGATATAAAAAGGCTAGACTCTCATCTAAACTTCGTGTGCTCAAAGTGAGTATGCAATTCAAATACTTTTGACAAAGTTTACTTTCTATTATGTAAACAAATGCAATACAGGTCTTAAAATGTGATTAAAAAAACTTTAAAATTACTGAAATACCATGAAAATACTTTTATTATTTTATCATAATTTTGTAGTTTAGGTTAAATGTAATAACATTTTAATAAATTCTGTATAGTTTGAAAAATACTGTGTTATGTAAGTTTTTATCAACATAATTACTGTTTCTTTCATTCTTATATTCAAAAGTAACATTTGTTTAATAGAAACATATTACTTACTTATTATTTGGTTTAGGAACTTCTGGAAATGCAGTTTGACTACAACACCAAATTTAAAAATGAAGTAAATAAATTATCTGCAGAAGAATTGCGTTGTCAGCCATTGGGTAGAGATCGAAATGGTTGTGCTTATTGGTTTCAAACTGATGAAAATTGTCAAATTCGCGTTTATAAAGAAGATATTGATGAAGAAACCTGGAGTCTCATTGCAAAGTATATANTCAAACCAAACAAAACGTAGTTCATTGCGGTTGGTTTGTGGGTTGTGATTTTAGTTAAGTTTTCAAGTTGTTTGTCATGGAGATTAAATATTTTGCCAAGGTATGTTTGGGCCATCTCCCATAACAGTTAACGAAACTTCAAATTCGCGTTCCACATGAAATGTTACACGACCGTTTTCTATCTAAAAATGATAAATTAAAAATTAATGAGATGGATTACTAAATGTAATACTTATTAACAAAAACAAAAAAAGTTTTTGTATTTCACACTACCTTTAAATTTCTCATTTGTGGTAGAAGATTCCCTGTAACAAGTCGATGTTGAATGACCTGATTTAATCTCAGCAAAGTGGCTCGTTTTTCTGCATTAGTAATAGGATCGGGGGGCACAATTCGATCCCGAATACAAGAGGGCAATCTTCCGTAAGTACCTGTGGTCAACACCTCTACAGCAGCAGGTATATGGAAATTTGGTAAACGAGCTTGCACAAGAGTTTCCCGAGCCATTCGGGCTAGCATATCTGCTGTTTCTACGAATAGGAGAGACTGCTTATCCAAAAAGGCCATAATCCTCTGAAAAAAAAATGTTTTTTGTGTTCATTAAAGATTCAGGTAACAGATGGCAGTGTACTGTATATTCACAATGAAATAATGAACGCGAATCTATAAAACTGTAAAAGAATTTCAACTCGGCCTTCCTTGTCAAGGGGAGCAGAGTGCGTCAATGAACGTATAGTGAGACCACTTATGCTGACACCCTGTATATATATCCGCACCCACATCATTAGTGACTGAGTGCAATTTTTGGAATGCCCTCTTACTTTATAGAGGGCCAAATAATAAACAAACAAATTAATAAATATGAATAATTAGTAGCTGCATTATGTATAAATATAAAAGTGTTATCACATTATTACCAAAGTTTCACAAGCTTTTCAATATTAACTATTATTTCTTTAGTTCAGTATACTTGTAGAAGAGTTAATTAAAATAAATTTTCTTAGTAATTAGCATAAAATAAAAGTATCACAAAAAATCTAACTGCAATAAAATTAATTAAGTATGAATGACTATATGCTCATTTTGATTAAATATTAGTATGAACAACACTTACAGCAGATTTTTCTACTTTTGAGGCACTGCTAGCCCACTTTACCAGTGCTAGTAGTCTGACAAATAACTGTCTAGTTCTCGCAGCAAAGCTGTAGATTTCAATCTTCCTCTCCATATCTGTTTTACGTGGGAGTCTAAAAAATGCCACAATTATGGAATATAGTCTCAACATATTTTACAATTTACACACTAAATTTACTTACAATTCTGCTAAAACAGTTAATTCGTGGTATGTTCTTTGTACAATAAAATCTATAAGCATTGCTAAAGAAATCTGTCCTCCCCTGTTGCCTTCTTGAGGGGTGGCATATCCGCCCTGTGACATGTTACTAATAGCAGTTGTTTGTATCCCCTCAAGTGGTACTGGGGCCATGGTATTGATTGTGTTTCTTGGGACCTCAATTTATTCAACACTTCAATTAATCTGTAAATAGTACAAAATACCACTTATAATTTTCTATATCATAATTGGAATATAAGAATTGAAAAGCATTCATTTTTTAGCAGTAAAATATAACTGTACATCTCAATAAAAGTATACTAACCTCAAAAAAATCCAGTTGGTTTAACATATTACAAACGAATTGTGCTCTTTTCTTAATAGGTATGAAATAATACTTTACATATATTTTGTGTATTTACGTTTAAATATCATATTTCAAAGCTTTTTGAAATACAATTAAACAATATTTTTGATAAGTACTGACACTTTCACAATTTGAAGAAAGACTGTAAAGTAATTTCACTGAAAACTCTATATTATGATGCACGTATTACACCAACCATTAGATGAAAGAAAATATAAACATAATTAATCACAGGCTTTTAAAAGTATTTCTTATTTCAAAATAAAATAAAATTGGCACCTTTTGCAATCACTACAGCAAAATAAAACATACATAACCATAGATGGTTAACTGAAGTTTTGTCTATCATAGACAAGTCTATGCTGAAGTTTGTTACGTTACGTTCACACATTTGAAACGAAGTTGGAACAAAATTGTCTGTTGTGCCATCTTTCAAACAGTTTCTAAAGTTCAGAACTATCAAAATCTGCTGTTTTTCGTGTATTTACGTTAATCAGGATTTTTTTTAAAAATTATTTAGGAAATTTTGAAGAAGCGTTTTAGCTTATTGACATTTCTAATAGTTTTGTTATTTGTTAAGAATAAAAGTTTCCATCAAGTATTATAGAAAATTGTTTGGAAGCATAAATCTCCGATAATTGCATGTCAAACCAAACAAAACGTAGTTCATTGCGGTTGGTTTGTGGGTTGTGATTTTAGTTAAGTTTTCAAGTTGTTTGTCATGGAGATTAAATATTTTGACAATACTTTCATTAAAAGTTACAAGGTGGTTTTGTTGAGTGCAAAGACAGTATTGGTGATTAATAAAGCAATGAAAACTATTTAATTTGATGTGTAATAAATATTGTGAGGCCGCTGAAAATGGCGTCCGACAATGAAGCTTCTTGTGATAATGATCCAAACTTTGCAGTTATTTGCGGTTTTCTTGAAAAGTTTGGTATAACATGCGGATTGTCGGACATAGACTTTCTAGACTTACAGGAAATGCTTGAAAACACACAAGAAGGTAAGGCTACTTATGAACTAATTTTTTTATAACGCAATTACTGCTTTCTCCCCTGAAAATATTTCAACTATAAACTTAAACGTACTTAATGTAATGTGTAATTGGTTTACTTAGTACAACCTATAATATTACAAAGATTTTTCTGAAGAAATGTTCTTGCATACTATAGTATCCAAATACTTGGTGGACATGCATGTGAAACTTTTAAGAAAAATTCGAAAGTCAGTTACTGCAGAACGTTGGGAAAGGAGTTTAGTAAAATTCTGCCATGAATTTAGCAGTAAGGATGCTTGGGAAATCGAACGATTTGGATATAAAAAGGCTAGACTCTCATCTAAACTTCGTGTGCTCAAAGTGAGTATGCAATTCAAATACTTTTGACAAAGTTTACTTTCTATTATGTAAACAAATGCAATACAGGTCTTAAAATGTGATTAAAAAAACTTTAAAATTACTGAAATACCATGAAAATACTTTTATTATTTTATCATAATTTTGTAGTTTAGGTTAAATGTAATAACATTTTAATAAATTCTGTATAGTTTGAAAAATACTGTGTTATGTAAGTTTTTATCAACATAATTACTGTTTCTTTCATTCTTATATTCAAAAGTAACATTTGTTTAATAGAAACATATTACTTACTTATTATTTGGTTTAGGAACTTCTGGAAATGCAGTTTGACTACAACACCAAATTTAAAAATGAAGTAAATAAATTATCTGCAGAAGAATTGCGTTGTCAGCCATTGGGTAGAGATCGAAATGGTTGTGCTTATTGGTTTCAAACTGATGAAAATTGTCAAATTCGCGTTTATAAAGAAGATATTGATGAAGAAACCTGGAGTCTCATTGCAAAGTATATAAATTAATTTATTTATTCTAAAATTACAGGATTTGCTCTTATTAGTTGCACTTATTTGTTTTCCTTGTAGAGACCGTAGTGAATTAGTGCAGCTTATAAACAAGCTGTCTGATAACAAGTCTTCAGTGGCTGCATCAGCGTCAGCATCCGCTTCTGACGCCGTCACAAATGAGGACAGCACCAGCTTGGAGAGTGATAAATTGGGTACTGAAGACATCAGTAACATCAATGGCATTAAATTATCTAAGACATCAGAAGGAAAGGATGATTACGAAGATGATGATGAAGACTGGGATCACAAAAAAAGTGACCAGTCTCCTGTGAAGATGTGCTCGATCACTCTCAATAAAATTGATAAAATTAGTGAACAAAAGGACAAACAAACAAATGAACCTGAAAAATCAACCAAACGCGAAATAGAAGACAAACAAATTTCGAACGACAACTCAAACGATTATGATGAGACGTTGTCAGAAAATGGGAAAAACAAAGGAACATCTGATCCAATGAAGCCCTTGACGATTGAAATAGAAGACAGTAATTCTAATAAATCTGCAGGGGAATTTGCTTACTCCCAAAACAATTCCACAAACGAAGGTAATTATAAACGTTTTTGTGATTTTATAATCTGTGTTATGAATTTCAATTATCTCAATCATGATCAAAAAATAATTAATATTTAACATACAAGAACCGAATTATTAATTATTCTTTGGCACAAACAAAATTTTATTCGGTAAATATTTGAAAAGTATAAGTTAAAACGCCTATAAAGATGTACTATCTAGAATAAGGTATCCAGACAGTAAATGCTTTTGTATGATGGATATAAAATACTTACTAATTTGTAGAACAAACTGATGACGTTCTATCAACGAAGAATCGTCAAGAAAATCAAGAAGACCACCCGCCGTTGACCATCAAACCGATTATTAATCTGCGAATAAAACCGATTACAGAACTTCTATCCCCTAATCACCTGGAACAGATCACTATGCATACAGTGGACAGTGCCGCAAATATAACCGAATTCGGTCGGGGTCCATCGACGTACGTTGCACCACACGCGCTACATTACCGTAAACGGAACCTCCCCGACGCGGAAGATTCGTTGGGCGAAGATCCAGTGATGATCAAAAGGACTCGCCCGACTTTATTACGACCGAAAAAGTTGCCACCTAATTTTATTGAAGTGGATGATGCTGTGGACGAGCCTGTTATATATGTAATGGGTGAGGGTTCAGGCAATGAAAATGAGGGCGTTCCGGAGGGCGAGGAGTCTCCCATTGTGGGCGAAGTGGTAGAAGAGCCAGTGATGTATTTTAAGGGCGAAGGTACTGGTACGGAATGTGCAACGGGAAACGAAAAACAGGACGACGACCAGCAACGAACTACTTCTGATGATAGTGTCGATGTCAAGGAAAAAATGGCGAAAAGTTCAATAAATGAGGCTAAAACACCTAGCGAGACGACTCACTCATTGAAACAGGAATTTAAGTTAGGTGAGTATGCTAATTTTCTTCTAATTTCAAAATTAAAAGTAAATTACTAATGTAAATAATTCGATTAACTCTTCAAAATTTGTATTGTATACAATCGTTAATGAGTATATGCTATTGTGTATACATTTAATGTTAAACAAAGAGTGTTTGTTAATACTTGATCGGTATCTAATCCACCTTTCTTTTATACCCTGTTTCATAATCTGTTTGAGAAACGGGGCCTTTACAAATTTCTACGTGATAATTTAATATACAATGTTTCGAGCTTATAACATTGTTACATTTTTTACATCTCATTCCCACAAAACCTCCACAATTTTCCTCTTTTATAAAGTAATCGTCTAATTTATTTAAACTTCTTCTTCCTTTGCAACTTGCGAAACGTTTATAACAATTCTAGAAAAAATTAAGTGCTTAAAAGTAGCACTAGTAATTAACTTCTTACAAATTTTTAATTTTATTTTTTGAAAATGTCAAATCTACACGTTAATGTAAATTAAAATCAATTTCTAATTAATTAAAGCAAAATGAACATATTACCTGCTCAGTCCCCATTCCTGTTTTATTTAATAGTAGCACATTTAGTAATACATCTCTTTAGATGAAAATTAAATTTGAGTTTACTTATGTCAAAATATAATAAGTGACTTTTCTTTTTCAGGGACGATATTTGACACAAAGATTGACAAATCTTCAGGTGCGCGAATCCCCGTTAAAAACTCCAGATGGGACATGGGCAAACCAACAGGAGGTGACCCTACGGTTGTAACACAGTGCAATAAAAGTGAAAACGATCACAAAACTCAGTGCGAAAGTACGTTGAATTTGTGCGGAGTGAGTGATACGAAGAACGTAACCGAAGAAGTGCCCCAATCTATTATGCCTCCGCCAATTAAGAAACCTGTATTCTTCTTTGGACCGGGTAGCTTAAAAATATCGCCGACAATAAGTCCTATAAGATCGAAATTAAATTGTAATAAAGTGTCCTCTTCAAGTGAAAGTCAAACCAACCAAAAACTGCCCCCCACATTGAATACAAAGGAAGAAAAACAACTTCAAAATAAGTTCACAACTACTAAAGAGTCGTCTTTAGATTTTTCCGCGCAAATTAAATATATTGGTAATGCTGAAGACTCCTCTCCAGATATTACTGATTTCACCGTAAAAGAATCAAACCCTAACAAGCAAGAGAATAATAGCAATTTAGTAAATAATGACAGCAAAGTAAATGTTTCAATTGAATCTTCATCTACCAAAGAAGTTTCCAATATTGAAAAAATACAAAAATTAGTAAACAGTGATGAAGAAATTCCACAAGCAGCTGACATTGTACAAACAGATACCCAGGAAGAAGAAGTGGAAGTTTATAATAAAATCCCCGTAGAAAGTGAAGATAAATCTGTGGTTGCAGGTGTAGATGTCATAGTTCCTATTAGTGATAATTTTGAAGAATGTACAGATAATGTAGAGAAGTTCGAAAACTGTAAACAACTGACTAGAAAAGATTTAGAAAATGTTAGAGCAGTAGGTGTAAAGGAAACAGCCGAGAAAAAAGATGAACTAGAAGTCCAGCAAGTAATAGAACATAATAACAAAATTGGGGTTATTCCTTTAAAGGTTGTTGAAGGTAGTGGTAATCCTGAGGAAAGATCAGTTGAAATATTTAAAGATGACAGTAGACAACTTCAAACAGAAGAAAAAATATTTGAGGATGTTGGTAAAATCTCCCAAGTGAAAGACAAAAGTTTGAGAAATACTACTGAAGAAATCACTGAAAGTGTAGTAAGCGACGAAGTAAACAAAGAATTTCAGGACAATGAGCATTTTAAAGAACTTGAGAATGTTGAAAGTACTGATGATAAGCTGAAAAAAGAAAAAATAAAAGACGTAATTAAGGACAGCAGTGAGTGTCTTTCAAAAGAAGTTAATATGGTAGATAGTATAATTGAAAGTAGCAGTAAACAGCCTTTAGAAAAACATGAAAAAGACAGTGATGTAATGGATACTAATGAGAAATCACAGGTAAAAAATAAAATAGTAAATGATGAAATTGAGGAAAGCAGTAAAATGTTTCAACAAGAAAATGTAATAAGCACCACAGTTAAAGAAAATTTAGACGTTTCTAAACAAAAAGAAGTTGAAGAATCAGAATCTGCAAGAGAAAACGAAGCAACTGAATGTATACAATTAAATGAAAAGCAGCTCAAAAATGAGCCAGTAAAAGAACTTCAGAAAATAAGTAAAAATGAGTTTAAGAATAATTTGCAAAAAGATGAGACTTTATGTTCTGAAAGCCAAAAATTGCCTAAAGAAGATGGTCACCAAGCAATACCAGTTTATTCTCAAAAACAGGAAATAGATGAAAGGGATCAAAATGTGGATACAGAAAAACTTAAAGAGGATGCAATAACAGAAAAGGAGGAATCTAAGGACTACACAATTGAAGATTCAGTTAATAAAACATTACCCTTAAAAATACCAGAGTGTACTGAAACTGGTAAGATAGAACCTAATGAGACAATAATTAAAGAAAGTAAACAAGAAAACATTTTAATAAAACAGCAGGAAACAATAATATTAGTACAACAAGAAGAATGCAAACACAAAGAAGAAATGACTCCTTCAAATTTCGAAAAGCCTTTGGTTAATGAGAAAGTATCTTTAGTTACCAATGTCGATACTCAGAAAATTTATGACGTCGAGCTAGAGACGATGAAAGAAGACAAAACAGATTTGCATTCAAACAAATCAAAAGATGCTGAAAAAAAGGAAGAAAAAAACAAATTAATTACTGAAATGCCAGACAAAACTGAACAAAAAGAAAAAAGAATTTCAGAAAAGGTTGAATTACATACAAAACAAATAGCAAAACTCCCACAGAAAAAAGAACTTCAGCAAATTAGTCAAAAAGACGTAGAAATTACAGAGAAAAGTAGACATAGGAAATCATTAGATAAAAATTTTGACGACATAGAATTAATTCCAACAACTCATAGCGACAAATTAGAACGTAGTAGTACAAACTTAGTTAAGTTACAGGAATCTCAAGACGATAGCAAAGAAGACCCTGCAATAAAAGATTTGATTACAACCGAAAAAGTTAGTGATTTAGAAACATTACGTCAAAGGTCGGAAATAACAATTAGCAAAGTTCAAACATCTCTTGCTAAAACCAGGCATAATTCTTTGAGAAACATCGAAAATAACGAAATGGTAACAATAACACCTAGTAAAAAGCCGAAATTGTTCGACAGCTTTGAATTGAATGAAAAAAGTAAAACACTAGAGAATATAGAATCTGTCTGCAATATCGAAACGCAGCGCACAACCAAATTGGAGACCACTAAATCTGAATTACATCAAACGGACGATTTAAAAATTGCTGGTACTAAAGAAATTGGTAAGGCAAAAAAGGAGGATGATTCTGAATCTTTAGAAAAGGATGATAAAGAAGTTGCTGAATTACCATCTCTAAAAGATATACAAAAACAAATTGTACCAAGTGCCATGGTAGAAGATGAAGCACAAAAGGAGGTTCAGCCACAACCTAAAAAAACTAGCAGCGCAGTTGTCGAAACAAAGAAAAACGTTAATGTTAAAGCTGATCTAAAAGAAAAACAACAAAATACAGATCCCGTTGTAGAACCACCTTGCGTTAAAAAATCCGTACCCTTATTAACTCATGTGGATGTAGACGAATTAAATGAACCAACTGAAACTGCTTTTAAAGATGCGGAATCACTCGTGGATTCCGACAGTGACATCTTCGAAGTTGCTGAACAGGATCCATTAATGGTTTCTGACAAAGAGGAAGAAGCTGAAAAAGAGGAAGATACTTCGATCCCTGTCTCAACTCCGTTGACTTTCAATTCATTCCAACTTGATTTTAATGATTCTCCCACACCATCGCCCCCACCTGCTAGGATACTTACAAGAAATCGTAAAAGAGTTGCTGAACAGAGTATTGATTCCCTAAAAGAAATCAAAAAACAGGATGATGCAAAACGTACAAAATTGAAAGGAAAACGTGCTGCGAACAAAGATTTGCGGCGTATTGTAGAAGAACAAAAGATGCAACCAGCTAGTAGCAGTGAAGAAGGAGGTAATGAGGGTGAGGAGGGTGGCGAACAGGAAAAAAGTGAAGAAAAACCGACGTCTAAGAAAAAGCTTGGTAGACCCAAAAGAGAAACTAAATTACGTGCAGCGAAAACTGAAAGCCCAGCGATTAGTAGCGATGTTAATTCAGAGAACTCAAGGACAGATGCATGTACTACTCCACCACCTAGTAAGAAAGGCAGGCCCAGAAGTAAGTAGCGCGATTTTCGTAAAAATAAAAATTAGTAATTACTTACTTTCAGAGAAAACACTTCTGGGTTTGGAGATCCCTGATAACTTTACAAATAGCCACGAAGAATCCACAGGATCTGTTCGAACGTCACGCCGTATTGCCCAAATCAAAATTAAAGAAGAGGCTGAAAGGAGAAAGTTGGAAGAAGTTGCTTTAAAGGATGAAAAGGGCAAAGGAAAGAAGAAAGGAAAAAAACTAGAGGAAGATAAGGTACGTCTAAAAACAAGCCCTCAATTTTAAGTTAAGTTAATTCATTGTTATCTATTACGTTACAGGATTATAAAACTCACAAAAAGCAACAAAAAAAAGCAATCATTCCCGAAGAAGAAACAACGGTTATGAGCGTGGAATCTGAAAGTAAAAAGAAAAGGAAGAAACGAAAGGCTGGAATGGTTTTTTCTCGTAAACTTTATGAACAAACGAATCCGTGGAAGTACAGTAGCGATGACAGTTCGGAAGAAGAAAATGAAGAGGAGGAAGAATATGAAGAAATGGAACCTAGCGAGGAAGAACCGCTGTTTAAATCCGATCATGAATTCTCTCCAGAGAGCGATCTAGAAGGAGATGGAGAAGTACAACCATTAAAACGAGCTAGAACCGTTAAAAAAGGTGTGTAATGCACACAAGTATTTCTTTTTGCAATTATTATTTGAAATAGTAGAAAGTAGATTCTATTTGTTTTTAGTTTATTGGAATGTTAATGTAATTGTTGAAATCGTTATTTAAAGAAATTAATTTGGATTTACTACTATTAAAATTAAGTTGTTCAAAGAATTGCAGTATGTAAATATGATGATTCATTTGTTATTTCAAATTAATCGTACTCCCAATTAGCAATTAAAATTAAAGCATTTAATAAAATTCAATATGAAACTGAAGAAAATTGTGTTTCTTATTATAAGCAAATATGCAATTTATTTTTATCATTTAACAACACAAAAAAAAAAATGTAAAAATTAAATATATAATAAAAGCTTTAAACAACGAAGTATATATAGAGAAGATTAAATGAGCCTGCTGTTTTCAAAAAAACACAAAATGATCGAAAAAAATTTTTTTTAGAATCAGACGTTGATGACGAAATCGACGACACAAATTGTCAAAAATGCGGCAAATCAGATCATCCTGAGTGGATACTGTTATGTGACAAATGCGATAACGGCTGGCACTGTTCTTGTCTCCGACCAGCACTCTTTGTAATTCCTGAAGGAGACTGGTTTTGCCCTCCCTGTCAGCATATCAGTCTCGTCGAAAGTTTGGAAAACAAACTGATCGAATTCGACAAACGACTCAGCAAACGAGAAATGGAAGTGAGAAGGAAAGAACGACTGGCTTACGTTGGTATTAGTTTGGACAACGTATTACCAGCTAAGGAAGGTTCTGAAGAACATCACCATCACAAGAAAACAAAAAAACAGGATCAGGGTTCTGACGAAGAAGAAGATGAAGACGGTGGTAGGTCCACCGGGGGTACAAGCTCAGAAACTTCTTCCACTTCAGATGATAGTGACGAACCTATTTATCAGTTACGGCAGAGGCGACAAGCACAAACCTACAGATTTAATGATTACGACGATCTTATCAACTCGGCAATCGGGGTGAGTAACATTTTTTCAGGTGTTTTTCAAGATGCCTGAAATTGTTGCTTTTGCAATAATTATGACTCAATCGACAAGATGTTCTCGCGAGCAATAAAACAATTAAATTAGAAAATGAAATTTAAAAAAAATGTGTACATCAAGGCCTTTGCTTTATATGTGTACGCTAGATGGCGGGCTTACAGCTATTATAAGTTACATAGTGTTCCTAAAATAACACAATGACTTTAGAATTATGTACATATAAGCTGCGGCTATCGAACTTTCGATTTTGAAATTTTTCTTGAAAGGAGCAAAGCAATTTGCTCCAAAAAACCTAATTTAAACAAAGTCTCACGAAAACACAATTGCAGGCACATTAAAAACCACCCAGTTAACCCTTATTTTAGGAAAAGTCTTCTGCAGAAGCTGTTTAAATAATTTCTAATTTTTATTAACCAATATTCATATTCATTTACGTCTTTTCTTGAATAATATGGTTGTCACTATTGAAAGTGATACATGTATCTTATAAATTTATTAACAGGAAGAAATGGAGTCAGTGAAGGGAGCTGGAAATCAAGGCAGAGGAAAAGATATAGCCACCATTGTAAACGCGAATAAAGAAGATGCTGAGAAACGAAAGTTGGAGATGCAATTCGATGAAAGACCTCCGGTTGTACCTCCAGAAACACATTCTAAAAATGACGATGACGAAGAAGACGATGAAGAAGTGGTAAGACCCAAAACGAGAACATTTAAGGGCAGAAAGAAATCAAGAAAATTGAATAGTTTAGATGTTAGTTCTGAGAATTCTGACTCGGATGAAGATTTCAAAGGATCAAGGTACTAAACACTTTTTTTATTAGTTTAACATGGTCTAATTAAAGAAATCATTATTTATACTTGATTTAATTCTGGTTTAGTTTGGAAGAGGAGGAAGAAGTCGATGAAGATTTCGATTCCGATAGTAGCGCTAGTAGAAGAGGCAGGGCTGCACTAAGGAGATCAACTCGAGCCCGGACAGCAAGATATGACAAAGATTTTAGTGAATATTTTGAAAAAAATAATCGTTAGTTGTATTTTAACTTTATTATACTTTTAGTAAATGATGAAAGTGAATCAGACGAAGAGGAAGAAGCGCCAAGTCGTAAAAAAATTCGTTCTATCTGGGACGAGTCCCAATCAGAAGATAGTGATAAGTCTTGGGGGCGGCGTAAAAAATCTAAAAGGTAAAAGTAAACAGAAGTAAATTTTAAAACTTGTAAACTAATTAATTACCACTTATTTTTATAGATCTTCGTTTAAATTACCGTCGTACAAACCAAAGAAATCAAAAAAGAAGAAGAAGAAGAAAAGCTATTACGATGATGAAGATTGTTATCGGAAGAAACCTAAAATAAAATACGGCGGCTTGGATGACGATGAAGATAATTTTACAAAAGGTCGAAGAACTAGAGGGAAGAAAATTAATTTTCTTGAAGCTCTTGGGACAGACAGCGAAGAAGTAAGTTGCTTTCAACGTCATTCTTGTTTTTTATAACGTATTTTTTTATTTTCAATTTCAGGAGAGCCGAAACAGAAAATCTACTCGTAAAATCGAAGAAAGCGAAGAAGAGTATGTGGCTAACGAAGACGAAGTAGGCGAAGATTCAGAACTGGAAAAGGATGAAATAATCGAAGAAGACGACGAAGTCGAAGACGAATTGGCTAGTAAACTAAAAAAGAAACGCAAAAATGTGATAGAAGATTCAGAAGAAGACAGCTCTGAAGAAGAGAAAAAAAAAGATGTATCAAAGCATGAACCGTCACTGCAAGAAACTGGCAGTTTTGAAGTGTTGAAAGAAGCAACTGAAATTTCGAATAATAACACAAAAGAAGGGAACAATTTGGTACATAACTCTAACGAAAAACCTCCTCTTAGTGATAAAATTGTTTCGAACGAAACCATACCTGTCACCACATCTGTATCCGTTAACGATTTTCAACCTGACATGTCGACAAACATTCCCGCAAATCAATTTCCCGTGGACTTAAAAGCACCTCCGTCAAATCTCCTTGATCCTAAACATGCAAGATTTGATAATGCGCCCTTTATTACTCAAGCTGTCGCTCACCAGCAACACTTACCTCAAGATTTGAGCAAAGAATCGGACATGTTGCCGTGGGGCGCTAATCAGGGGCGCCATTTTGTTGCCGAAGACGAACAAAGCAGTTCAGTCGATGAAATCAACAGGAATTTTGATGACATGAATGAGGAAGAAATGGAAAAGATGATGGAGGAAGAGGAATTCGCAAATGAACAATTAAAATTGGTTGCTTTGCAAATCGAAAAGGAAAAACAAAGGAAGAAACGCGAAAAGTCAGGTGGCGAGGAACCGAAAACGCCAAAGAAAAGGGGAAGAAAACCGAAGGCAGCTTTAGGTGCATGTGGTGGAGGTATTATCGAGATGGGGCCTTCAACAAATCCGAACATAATTGGCGGACCATCACTTCAAGCCTCACCTTCAAGTGGTGTGTTAACTAGAGCAACACAGTCAGCACCTCTATCGTCAAACATTGGACTTCCACCTGCAACCATTGCGACGTCAACATACCCGAGCGTCTCTTCGATTTCGCCGATGATTCCCCAATCAATTATAAGGAGTAAGTTTCCTATTGTCGTCTTTCCACGATTAAATTTGACCCAAAAATGATTTATATGCTATTAAAATCTTCTTTTCTTATTAGCTTCCATTTCCCCTTCACCATCTCCATATGTAACATTAGAACCAAAAGAGAATGAAGAATTGTCAGAACCTCCTGGCGCTACCATTCCTCTATTTAGCGAAATCTCACCCATGAACGTGACTCCAGAAGGAACTCCTAAAAAACGTCGAGGTCGGGGCAAAGGCAAGAAAACGTTAGCTAAAGAACAAGCAGCAGCTGCTGCTGCTGCAGCCGCGGCCGCAGCGGCGGTAGCATCAAGCAGTTCCATGAGTGGCAATGAAACAAACAGTTCCACCCCTAGCATCATCGCTTCTGGAACACCTGATCAACAGCAAAGCAGTGTCAGTTCTTATCCCACATCGAATCCAAATCAGTCCACTAATTCGCCAATATTGACCAGTAAACTGACGGTAGCGGCACCCCCTCAACCCTTTGCACAGAGTCAGCCCGTGCCCTCAGTAATCACAAGGATGTTGCAGCAGCATAATAATAATCCTAATTATTCTCCTTCACCAAGTAAGATGTACGGGACACCACCGGCTGGCGAACCACCCCCTATTTCGTCAGGATCTAATACTTCGTTACCCACTAATGGAATTCCTGCATCTACCGCTCCTTCGACGTCTCTACAGAGATCAACGCCGTCTCAAACTTCTGGACCGTACCATTACACCAATAACGGACCGAGAGGAGGTGAGTGTTTTTAATAAATTCTGAAGTATTCAATATGACAATTTTGTATAATACTTTATGTTCTCAGGTCCGTATGTGCAACCACCTCCATCGTCATCACCATACCCAGTCCCAAGGGTTCCTCCTTTAGCGTCTCCACATCGATTGCAACAACCCCAAGGCCTTCCTCCACCTATGTATCACTCGCATCTCATGGATCCGTCTCCGTCAGGCGGGGGACCCATCAACATTCCCGGTCCTAACCAACAAGAACGAAACTCGACCCCAGTACTTCAGCCGCCCGTTTCCGGCGCAACAGTTCTTAATAAGTCAGACCAACAACAAGCTACAGCGCCGCCGCCTCTTTCTTCGCAACAATCTGCGTTGCCTTCTTATTCGCGTCCGCCAGTTGGTCACTATACTGCTGGCGGACCGATAAGTACCGCCCCTTCGATGCTCTCTGCTCCCCCGAGGTTTGTGCAACAACAACAGCAGCACTTGCCCCACCGGCCCCCAACTGCTGCCCCTGGTATGCCACCACCGCCACCATTTCACCCTTCTACTTATCCTTATGGAGGACCACCATACGCACCGATACCACCACCAGAAGAAGCTCAACCTCCTGATGGTTATCAAGGGTCACCGTACACAGAACCCTACGGAGGAGAGAACGCTCCTTTACCTACATCAGACAGCAGTAATAGCAGACCCTATGATGAAGAGGTAGGAGGAGAATTTGGGGGTTTGGTGTCGTACTTTTCTAGCCAGAGAGAAGATGATCTCGAAACTTAAAGACGACTGAGGAACTTAATAAGAAGAAAGAAAGTTTTTCGATTGCTTTTGTTTTTGTGTACCAGCAACAAATACAGGACGAACTATTATAAACAAAAAGTTAATATGTAGTTTACGCGTTGTATCTACATATTTTACATGAACGGTATATATATATACAAAATAATAAGTAAGTAAACAGTTAGATTCATAGATAGGACTAACTTAAAAGAAATTAATAAATATACATAAATAATATATATCGATTTGTACGAATGAGGTATTTATGTTTTGTATGTGATTCGTTTTGTGTATCGAAAGAGGGTCGAGTGATGATTTGTTTCCTTTATACTAATTATTGTGGACGATTATTCAAAGTTTATAATTGCATTTTTCATTTCTTTGTTTAAAAATATTTTATTTAACGAACATAATGTATTTATGATGTGTGTAAATATGGTCGTTCAAATAATAATAATATTTTAGTTGTGTATAAATGTAAATAAGATGATACCACTACGATGTATCTTTGAAAATGTAATAGATGCTACACATTAAGATTTTTTTAAATGTCGTTTGTTTTTTATTTGATAACAAGTCTGTTTAAGACTTGAAAATGAATATGGATCATATCTCCCCAGTGACAGTGATATTTATGGTTAAAACGTATGTTATTGAAAGAAAACAATTAAGATGTTTTCTTGTGTAGACTAACAAACGCTATATTTAATAAAAAATATACAGTATATTTTTACAAAACCTTATGCTAAACAAAAGTACATTACATATATTATTGTTAACGTCAATAATAATACATAACTGTACAAGTTATACACTAGTGATATCAGTTATTTTAATAGCAACGAACGACCTGTTACAAAAGACTAACAAAAACTAACAACAATATGGGGTATTACACGTCAGTCTTTAATAATAAATAACCAAACGGCCGATGAATATATTACCCGGGGAGAAGCAACTTTGACTTGTTTCAACTAAGTAGACAGTTTTATAGGGGGAAAATCGATGGGTGGAAAATTATTCTTAAAAGAGAAAATAAAATGATTTTCTCCACTTTAATTTTATTACAAATGATACACTGTGTTGCAGACGGATTTTTGAAAAACTTTTAGAACATGGAATCCAAACAAAATAAGCCACATACAGAACGGAAAATTAATATTAAAAATTGAATATTATAAAAACGAAACCATATCTGCAACACAAAACGATAATTGAAGTTGTTGTTATGTTATTGTTGAATAGGAAACTAATTTCAGTTTTGGGAAAAGGCAAGCGATTGTACTTCTATCTATTGTATTTCAAGCCAGTTATAATACACTTTTTAAGATTCACGATGAACGGGAAATAATAGATTTAGAAAAAAATTATATATATTGAACGTTTCATAGTTCAAGCGGAGACCACTAGTAGTTTAGCAATATTTAATTATAGTATCAAACACATCGCATTATAATTAATTTATCGATTTTTTATATTTTTCCAGTTTGTTATAAGACGCAGTGCACACAGCTGTTGTAATCTGTAATTATTTTCAAAGTCTCTACCCTTTAATAAATCTAATAATCAAAAAACTGGAAACGTTATAAAAATCGAACTATACGAGCTTTCAAAAAAAAAAAAAGGAGTAGTTTACAATTGCGAAACCCTTTTAGTTTCTAATGAAGAGAGAGATTTGGCGGATAAATCTTTTGCATTGGTGATGGACGATCCACCGATATTAGACTCGGATATACAGGGTAGAGACTGCTTATCTAACGTCTCGTTAGAGACCTCTATTATGACGTCGTCGTCTAGGCTTTTAGGCTTATTTTCGTTGAGTGTGGAATGGAAGAAGATATTTTTTAGCGTAGCCGTAGTATTAGTCGTTGAGGACGATTTACGGGGCTTCTCAGCCTCACTTATAGGCAAAGTTATGTCCACGTAAATGCTATCGTTGCTGATAGTATCGTAGCTACGATCATTCCGACTGTGGCATGACCTGAAATTCGAGCGACCGCGAGAGCTGCAACTACTATCTATACTAGCTTTTTCAGCGTACATAGATTCGTACAAATGAGGCGCTATGAAGCTCACATTATCGTCAAAACGGACCCTCTCAGATACGCAATCCTCCCCGTTTGTAACGCAACTGCACGAATCACTTCCTGCAGTCTAGAACAACAGCAATAAACGTGAGAGTACACTGTACAGTCAGGGAAGACTTAGACCGTAAGATATATTATTATTTCATTACTTACCTTGTAATTGAGCATGGATCCGGCAAGGGCGCGGGTTGATGCGGCTCCATCGTCCGCCGCAATACTGGCGCTGACCGACTTGTCTGATAAGCTGCTGATGCTGTATCTTTGGGCAGAAACCATGTCTGCCTGAACCTCCATTCTCTGGCCGATACCGGAACCGGTTCCGACACTTCCGGCAAGAGCTACAGTACTTGCGGACTCTCTGTCTGCCTCACGCAGGACCTGACTGCCGCTGGCCATCGAGAGACTCGCCTCGCCGATAGACGCCGTCGTGACGCCACCCACGCGTCCACTAACCGCGTCCATGGAGGTATTGTCGGGATTGTTACGTGAAGAGGCGACGTCGTTTTCGTCGTCGAATTCGAAACGAACGCCGGTCGCCGAAGTGGTCACTCCACAACCACCTGAACGGCAAAGGGACACGGGAACGACGCCGTATACATAGAACAGGAGGATCGGGACACCGATCCCTACAGCTAGGCCAGCAAGGATAGGCGATATCAAAACCTGGAAAAGAATTAAGAGTATAAGAAAACGAATGAATGATAATACTAAGGAATGATATCTTTTATAATTGTTTAATGACCCTGCTCTTGCTTTCTTTTACGCCAATAGAATATCGTTTTATTAAAAAAGAGGCAAATTAGGGATTCTTATGGTTTGACATCAACAACCCCTTTAGCTAATTATAAAAATTTGGGACATGAACAAGATTAATATTCGAAACAGATGCATGTACAGTCTATTTCAATTTGTTAGAATTATGATCTTGAAGAAATCTGCGCGAAGATAGAAAGAATACACACTAGGCGTAAGCAAGACAGAAATGTTCCCTGAACGAGCAAAGTTCTCGATGGGCGGTCTTAGGAGATCGGCTAGAACTGTACAGTACTAGACGAAATGTTTAGCAATTTCTTAAAACAAAAATGTATATAAATTAACAATAGAAAACAAAGCAAAAGTTTTATAGGTGTGTAGAGCGTTAAGTTAATTCACTTGTTATTATTTTTGGCTAAATATGCTTTTAAATAATGCATATTCTTAAATTTTAAAGAGGCAGTTTAAATAATTTTGCAAATGGTACTGTACACTTTTGTCTAGTTCTCGCTCAATGATCGGTGGAGAAATGAGCTCCGCAGACAAATATGATTGAATTTGGAATTATGCTACGGCGCATCCTAATAAAGGGAAGGGGCATATCTCTAACTTCTTGAAACGAACAGTACGTACTACACTATAGCTTTGACAAGTGTAGTCATGTATAACGTACAAAAACAGAAACTCATCCAAGACTAAAATGAACAAAAATTTTTGCAAAGTTCGAGAAATACACTTGAAAATTAATAATTTATTAAGGTCGGTGGTAGGAGGTCGTCAGAAGCAAGCGTAATATAACAGTCGGCCGAACCGGCGTCCGCGCTCGACGCCGACGTCGCTTTTGCCACGCCCGTTCCAGCGTCGCGACGTCGACGCACGCCACCCAAAACTATCAACCCACCCCACACCATTTCTTCTTTGTCGCTGTTCGGGCCGTTCCAGCAGTGCTTCGTCGTCAATGACGGCAACAGCCAACAACATACACGGTGAGACAATTTCATCGACGCGCCCATTCTAATACCAATTAAATTATTAAACCGTCATTTGTCGACTTGTGCTATGAGTTCGATAAAGAAACCAGTAGCTAAAGTGTCCACAATTCACGACATAAAGGATACTTAACGGGTGAGAGATTGTGGTGATGATGGTGCTTCGTCTTTGGAATGTTTTAGAAAAAAAAAAAATAATTGCACTTTGAACTGACGGACAGTCGGAATTGTAGGTACCCTGGTACAGGATACAGACAATAAAAATATTACAGCAGGTCTTTAAAATGTGTTACTTGTATTGATTAATTTTTAATTTCCTAAAAACGTAACTTATGCTTAAACAATTCTAATTGGAAGTAAAAATTTGTAATGATGACGTAACTGCTGCAATTATTTTGTATTGTGAAATATCGCATGCATGCTATAATATGCCTACATAAAACAGTTATTGTTTTGTTCTGAATCAATGAGTCCTTGGCCAATTCGTAATTTTAATAAGTAATAAAATACCTGATAAAAAAATTAAAAAAGTATGTAATGTAAAACGAACTATTTTGTTTAGAAGTACATTATATCGAATTAAAGAATTATCTAATTAAAAATTTAAGTTCAGAACTATATTAAACGTAAACAATATCTTTTCCTAATATAGTTTTATATGCTTGTTTAATTGCTCAACCATTTGCTATAAAATTAACTTTTTCCAGATAAATTCTTTTCCACTTTATTGCCTTTAACTCTGCTTAAGAAATACCCTCTAAATTACTGTTACCTCAATAGGGCATAATTTTCCTTTTTACAAAATATCGTTCATAATTAGAATTGAACATTAATACCTAAAATTGTTTTTTAAAGTAGAAGAACATTATTCAAGATTTGATTGGACTACTTTTATGAATAATTACGTAAGTGGCGCTCCTGTTCGGTTAATTAGTGATTTCTGATTAAACATAATTCCCATAGTTTTCTTTTTGAAACAACAGTTCAGTAACTTAATTTCCCTTTTCTTTGCCAATTAAAGGACAACAATTCTGTTTACGATGTCTGTCACACACTACATGTAATACATTCGATAAAACTGTTGGTCCCATATAAATTTCCCTCTAATTGCCCCGAAGGTCGAAATAATTTCAAAACATACACACAATAGGTACCTAATCGCATTATTTAATTATCGTTAATTATATTATTGTCGTACTAACAAACTAAGATAGAAAAGTCCAATCGCAAAACTTTTTTCTATGAAATGCAGCAGTTGGAAAAGAAGAAGAGAAACACAAAACAAGAACCCAATTAATATACGTTTCAGATATCATCCTCACGATTTAATTGAGAATATCATCTGGTGGTCATGTCTCAATCAGAATCCGAAGATACAGGTAGTAACACAAGTAGCAGTACGACTAGCGACGCAGATTGGCCGGTAACAGAAGAATGGCTCCAGGCAGTGTTAAAACAGCATCACAAGGACCTGGAGGAACCATCATCCATCACCGTGGTCGATTTCGCCGTTCGACCTGGTTGCGATGCGCGCGACAACGTACTCAGCGATATCTTGGCCGTTAGCGTTAAATATAAATTACAAGGGAACGATGACATTCATTCGCTCAATTTCATCATCAAGCTTCTTCCCCAGGATCCCTTCAGTCGGTTTTTTGTTACCGAAGCACAATTCGATCTCCGAGAGATTAGTTTTTATACTCAAGTAAATAAAACTAAAAAATTTAACAGATAGATAGGTAAACTTCTGCATCTCGTTTTTTAGATTGTACCCGACCTGGAGTCTTTCCAATCGAAATACATTTCAGAAGGCTGTGCCCCAATCACGCTTCCCATCCCCAATTGCTACTACGCCCATTACGCCGCGGGTAGCACGCAACCCGAACCGACACCCCCCGAATCCGTCCTGGTGCTAGAAAACATTAAATCGTTGGGCTTTCACGGGGGCGAAATCTCTCGGGGTCTCACCCTACGTCAAGTTCGAGCCGCAGTCGAGGCAATATCTAAAATTCATGCCCTTTCCCTGTGCCTCAAGATTAAGGAAGAAAAACAGATCCCGGAAAGATACCCCTTTCTATTTCAGACGTCCAAAGCAACAGATTCGTATCAGCACCTGGTCGAAAGAGGACTTCCTCAGCTGGACCAGTTCCTGGAACGACGACAGGGACTAGAATGCGTCCTGGATTGCCTCCACTCGATCCGACCAAAAACGAAAGATATCATAGAGAATCTCCTGTCACCTCAGGAACCGATGGGCTTGATTACGCACACTGATTTCTGGTGTAACAATTTGATGTTTAAAGAAGACGAAGACAATTGCGAATGTACAATACTAGACTGGCAAATGGTGACTTTCAGCAGACCCACCAACGATTTGGCTTTGCTCATTATAAGCTCCGTTCCAACCGAACTGAGGAGGCAACACACTGAAACGCTCCTGGATAACTATTGGGACAGTTTCACGGCAATATGCCAGAAACTGGGCCTGGACGTTCCCGGCGAACTTGAGTACGATAGGAAAAAATTGGGTCAGGATTACAGACGATCGCAACTTTTGGCCCTCTTGCTTTGTATTGGATCGGTTGATGTGGCCCTAGGAGACCCGCTAACTGAGGAACGATTGGTGGAGTTGCTCAAAGATCTTTATGCGGACGGAATTTTGGCCAATTCAGATGAAGTTTAATTATAGACTGATAAATAATTAAATATGTACATTGAGTCAACGAAAAAGCAAAACAAATTTTATACTCCCGTATTGATACGTTTGTCGCATATTTGCGAAAAGAAAATTGATTGCAGGATTAACAGAGGAGGAAAGAAGGGTTTTTATCAATTCGTCTCATGTTAGAAAGCTTTTACCAAAAAAATGTAGATTTCATTCAATTCGTGCTGTGCAATTTGATTAAGAATGCTTTATAAATACTTATACATATAAAACATAACTTATTTTTTATCTTCGCACTTTAACATGATGTGCCAATATCATAATCTGTAGACACATAAACCTAGAATGCTGTAATATTTTGTGTGACACGTGGAGGTTTCCGTTTTTTAGACTTTAATTCCTACAATGTAATTATTTCTTTACAGTTTCGAAATTAATTGAAACTAACTAGTGTTGCACATATAACTAAAATAAAAAGCTATGTTTTTTAAGCATATTGTTCCTGTTCACAAACATGCTAAAAACAATATTAGTTGTAGAAAATACCAATGTACTGTATAATTAAATATAAAAATGTCACTGAAACCTACAAATAGTATCATTTTCCCAGATCAAAAGTGAAATCTTCAAGAAATAGAAAACATCTATTCTTATCAGAAATAGGTAATTGCAAATTCACCCAAAAATAATGTTCTGTACAATGAATTATGTGTTGCACAAGTGATTTCTCCTTAAGTATCTATTTAGTAAATGTGTGTCCAATCTCAATTGAACAACTTAATCGATTACTTGTTGCTCAAAAAGTACTTGAACTGGGTACTCAATTGTACTTCTTAGCCTGAATAAGAACCTCCTCACAGGGGTAAAAATCGATTCATTCAAGCTAATCCTCTGATTTTAAATACGCTTATAATTGCGAAAAACTAAATTAATAATTCAAAATTAATTTCATTTTGTTCTACAAAAATCATATACTCTGGGCGAATAAAAGTACATAATTTAATTAAAAAAAAATCAGAAATACCCTTACAGTGAAACAAGAAGAGACGTAATTGTGGTGAAAAGTCACTTAAAAAGTTTTTTGCCCTCTTGAAATGTAAAATAAAAACTAGAACGCAAAAACAGGACATGTATTCGAGAGTAATTGTAGTAGCGTGCAAATGCGGAAGCAATTGACCTGAATGATGGGGACACATCCACCCCACATTTTTGCTTCAATGGTCTCTTAAAGGAAAGTTTGTACCACCGCACAAAACATAAACATTCACTCAAATTTGCGCAAAATCACGTTCTTTAGAGGGGTCGCTTTAAACTAGCGTAAATTTATCAATACATATTTCAAACGATAGAGTAGAAACTACATAAATAATGAACTAATATTTCTACAGAAAGCCAAAATTATCCAATTATTAACGATTTTGTTCTACAGAATATATTAATTACTATTGAAAACGGTTATTTCAAGTTTTATCTGCTTTTTTAACTAGCAACCGTTGTAAAATCAAACTTATTGATCCTGAGAGAGAGCTTCATATAACTAGCTCAAAAATTCTGGTTTTGAATTTTAATGATAGCGCTGACAAATTTATTCACTCCAACTCGCATCACTTGCAAATAATTTATCCTTACAACTGCTGCTTTTACCTTCATGCACATATATCTACTTGTTCACCTTAAAGGTACTCTAAATGTATAATGTGCATATTCTTGGCAATAAATCAAAAAAAGGAAAAGTTTGAATAAATTTTATACTTTGTTCAGTAACAAAAAAAGACAAGAGAAAAACGACAAAAGTAGAATGTGAAATATAAAATCATTTGTAAAGATTCGCGTTTTTTTAGTAAATACATACGTACAAATAGCTACATCATATATTACCTAATTGTTCCTGGCAATCGATCTGTCCGTTCTACTACGGTCATCTTCCTCTTTAACAAACCCTTTTCCTGGGTCATCGACGTTATTTCCTGAAGACCCGAACATAATGCGATCCGATTTGCAAGCACAATTTTTTAGAATATCTTGTATTAAAGTACTGTTCTTAATTTAATTATTAATTAATAACTTCACTTTGATCTTTCAAACATAATCCCTTTCATTCTTTAAACGTATATTACAATAATTCTAACCGAAATCAAACCGAACTAGAAAAATCATGGTTTTTTGTTTATAATACTAACAATGTATCATTTTAACAATGATTATAGTTTAAAAATACACTTATAATTATATTTCCACTATAATATTCACTTTTTGTCTTAGTTTCACGCACGTGTATTGAATTAAAAATGTATATTAAATGAATGGGGTTCAATAACCTCTGCGTTTGCCTTATAGTACTATAGTAGTAAAATATGAATAAAAACGTAAACTATTGCATTCATAATTCTATAGAAAAATGCGCCATCTTTTTCTCTGGCGGCGGTGGATGATATTTATTATAATCAACATAACCTTAATTTACAATTTTGTCTATTATTCTCTTATAATAGTCATTTTAATAAAAAGTATTGCAAAATGGGATGTTTAACGAATGCAGTTTAAAACTTTGGACTTTCTTTTAGGGGTTCAGTGCAATAATAATAGCTGAAACATGATTATAGTAATAAAAAAACCTCAACAAACAAATGTCTGCAGCCTAGACTTCTACATCACCAACTACTAAATTCGCTTTTTCTTACCTACATTTAATAGTACGACGTTGTGTCTATTTTTTAATGTTAACTCATATACTATTGTACTTAATAAATACAAAATTAAGCAGCGTCATTTGTTTTAAATTAATTAAATGGAGAAATTAGATGCTAGGTTTCGTAACTACAATAACAGCTAGTTCGTTGGAATCGTTATACTCTGTCCTGCTTTTGAAAATTCTAGACCTATGTGTTTTTTGCATTACTTTCTGAGTTATTTTACCTAACAATTTAAGATATTGACATAATATTTCCTTAATAAGTAATTACTAATTAATATTAGAAAAATTTCATCCTGCATCTGTTCGACTAACAATGTCAAACGTAATTCTGTGCCTATATTTTACTATCAAGTTTACTGCATTTCTTATTCGACTTGCAAAGCTTTATTAAGTTATTTTTAATAATTTAAACATAATTTATTGCAAAATTATAGTTCTTTTCATTGCTGTTTAAGTTGTGATTAAGTGTAGTGCTTCGTTATTGGAATACGAACAGCATTTATTCAATAGTTTCTGTTTTCCCATGTAATAAGACAACACTTTCATTTAACAAACAATGACAACAACAAATGTTCTGGAAATAATTGATAAAATAGTTTAAACAACTCAATTTGTTCAAATAAGAGAGAAATAGGGTCTATACGCAATGTTTACAAAAGAGCTTGTTTAAATTAGTTTTCAAATCAGATTTACTCAATAAACAAGGACGACCACAGTAAACTGGGTGTTTTATTGAAGCAAAATCGACTAAAGCAAAAAGAGAAAGAAAAGATCACTTACCGAAGCGATGAGGCCTCCAATTATAGCTGCATTCCGTTTGTGTTTGTTTGCAGTCTTGTACCTCGTGTAAAGTTTACGACCAACCCAAACAGGTATTCCTGTAACAACAAAAAAATATATTAATAGACTTCAATAAATTTACTCAAAACTTTTGATACCTATCAACTGTTATGTGCTAATTATAATATAGAAAAACAGAAAAGGATAAATTACAAAAGATAAGTATTAATAACAAAACAAACAAAAACGATTTTATTGATTAAGATTAATCAAAACATTACCAATGATCATTGCAGGCACTGCAATCCCAGCAATAAGGGCAATTCCCACAGGAGCCCCTACGAGTGTTCCAAGCTGCCACAAGATCTTTTTCTTTCGAGACCAGGGCTTCTTTCCCCAAAATGTACAACCCGAAGGGCTGAAACAACAAAAAGGAATATTTTCATTACAAACATTCACCGAATTCACTTGAATTATCATGTCACATTTAAAAGTTACTTATTTACATATAGTTAATTTTATTTCTTACTAACGTAGACAAAGTCTGTTTCCAACTAATTAATTACAATTCTATAAATTATACAGATTTAGTAATAACACTCTTTTAATTTTAGGTAAATATTAATCACCTTGCTGTAGGCAATTAAAACCGAACAGCATATTTATTTAATTCATTCAAATGTGATCAGTTTAATCAATTATACATTTTTTAGCTTAAATAACGACGACACAATTGTAATTAATAAAACAAAAGGAAGAATATTTTAAAAACAAAACCGTTACATTAATCTAAAATTCTATACAATATTAATTAACTCAGCAGAAGTATGCAAAACATTTTCAAGAACAGATTGAATTATTACTTGACTTTTGACCTCAAATATCAGCCTAAAAAATTCAAGTACGTCTTACAATACTGCATAAATATTTTATTACGATTATCTCTAACTTTTTTGTAGTATTTAAAGGTGATTAAAACACAATTATAATGTATATAACTTTGTCAAAAAAGTTACTTGATACTTGACTTTCAATTCCTTTGTACTGTCCACCTAATGATTAGAATAACTTTTAAATTATAAGTACTAAGTATTTATTAAAAATTCTTGCGAGACATTTTAGTGGTGTGTAGTACATACGCTTTTTTAGCTTTTAGGACTTGCTCACCTTAAATAATGCAAATCGCTTATTTCTTTCATGCACAGCCAACAAAACTCTGCTCCACAAACAGAACACATCATATGATTGCATGATCCATCGTCCAACTTGACAATAAGCACTTGGCAACGAGGACATGGTTTTATGTCATCCCCTGCAAATAATGAAATAAAACTGTGTAAATAACAACAAAAAAAAAGAATATATCACTTATGTATACGCTTAGCTAATATTAACAAGATGTAAAGGTAATAATTCCATGATCTGAATTAAAAAAGTCATATTATTTTTCAATTGTGAGAACTTCGAATAAGATTTTATTATTAGTATGTGTTTTGAGGAAAACGGAAATATTTATTTAGTACTTACGATGTTGGGAGTCCTGACTAAAGCTAACGGAAGATGAACGAATGTTCGGTGACCTTTGAGCCCTTGCTGCATCACACGTCTGATTGGGATGCCACTCAGCTTTACAGTGATAACAAAAATAAGAATTACATCCAGGCCTTTCGCACTTGATTTTTGGACAACTTGCACATTCACTTGCTATCACTGCAAACCTGCAAATAAATAATAAGCCCAATTTTTTAAAAGTTTGTACAAACTTATATATTTTTTTTTTGGTTTAAAGACAACAAAAAAAATTCACAATATCAGACAATGTATATAATATTTACCGACAATCTGGAGCGGGACACCATCGAGTATCGGGGTCCACTGCCAAAACCCTTCGTACCATAAAATCTTCGTACTTTTCGTATACATGTTGATCATCCAATATGCTACGAATCTCTATTAAAAAAACAATATACAGGATGTTAGGGTGACTGTAACAATATTCTCTATTACATTAATTGCAATATAACAAAAAGGCTGAACTATAAATTTTATAATTCGCACGTAATTGCTAATTATGAGCTTACCATTGGGATGAATAGGTTCTGAACATTCTGGACACGAAATAGAAACTCTAGACTCAGAAATCTCAATTCTCAAATATTGCTGTAAACAGGACAAACAGGAGCGATGCCCACAACCCATGAGCTCGCAGAATTCGTCCAAGGACTGTTCTACCAGACATAGTGGGCATTCCAAGATGTGGTAACCCTCTCCACTCTAAAATAAAAACATTTAGTGAATAACTAAAAATTATATAACACCATTATTAATATTATATAATTTTACAAAGGTGAATGATGACGATGATGGTAAGATATGATACTGTACTTATTAATATTAATGAATAGATAAATCTTATTGGCATTTACTCTGTTTTATTCATACCTACTGCAAGATCATTTATTAGTTTTCACTGCAGTTAGAATAGGGGAAAAACCGCCCATACTGAATCAGGTACTGTACAAAATGACGTTCACACAAGTACGATTTTATAGCATCATTATCGCTCTAAAAACGTCTCAATATAATGTAATATTTATGTTGATAATTTACATGTTTACTCAGTACAGTTGTTAACACATAAATAACACATTTACGAAGTGCCATTAACAATTTGTTATTAGACAGTTTGTGAGTAAATTATAAACAACAAAAAACGAAATAGATAAACGCATAAGGGCAATGGTAATTTCCACATAGAAGCATAAGGAAACTTTTTTGGGTAGTTACGTAGTAAGTATTCATTCGATCTATTAAAGAAAGGAAACTGTCAGATCTAGGAATAAATAGCTATGTTGATATACTTTAAAATTAGTATTTAATGATACTATAAAATAGTAATTAACACACATTTTAATTCGTAGATACGTAATAGAATGAAATATTTATAACTGCAGCATACAATACTATAAGGGTTCCGTTTTTCATTCGGAAGTACGGAACCATAAAAATAACAACAAAATATTACAGTCAACGTTATTTATTAATAAAGTATTTAAAAATTAAGGGCAAATGTTCCTTGCTTCAATTAAACTTTCTAAAAACAATGTAGCAAAAAAATATCGTTTTTTGAGTGCCAGTATCACTTATTGAGAAAGAATAGCGAACGTGATAATAAAAAAGTAACAGTGGCGCCTGGAAACCAAATTGAGTAATTAAAATTATAGCTGCTGCTACACTCTCATTAGGGCTTTACACTTTATTGCTTCATAATAATTAGATTTATTACCAAAGCGAACAATATCATAAAACATTCTCGCTATACCCAACACGCTAAACATACACTACATTATACACGGTTTGTTTGAGGCAGGTCAATTGGTTTACGTTAACCTGAACCAGGAAGTGTGTCAGTGCACCTTGGGGTAATTGGGTTCAAATCAATATTTTCCGTAAATCCTTGTGTAGCAAAATTTAATAGGAAGTGAAACGCAAAACAATAAATATAAACAGAATTTTCTACAACTAGAACTGAGGAATTATGACAACAAAAGGAAATCAATTCTGTGATCGCGAACGGTTAATTCGAAAGGCTAGTCAGAGACATATTAGAAACAGAAACAGGAGTAAAGGGGGGCAGAATCTAAATATTTTACGAACTTGTGATGGCGATAAGAAGATATATGAATAAAAAATAATTAAGAAGTCTCTACCTTTGTGCTAGATGTGAACACAGAAGTTTTGCTGTTGGCTTGATGAAGTTCGACGTAATGTGATAGGCCTTTTTCACAGTCTTTCGATGAGCTACCATTCTTGTTATCCGCAACATCTTTTCCATGACCTGAAAATGTAAAAGAAAAAAATAAATAAATAAAATAATAAGAATTTTTTTAATCTTTTTTTTTTCAAATAAAATATTGTACATTAAATTAAATCGATCTCGTTCCTTTCCCTTCTTNAAATATTGTACATTAAATTAAATCGATCCCGTTCAATATTCATCTACAAAGTATTCTTTTAGTTTAATAAACTGTCGAAGAATAAAGTAGTAAAGTAACAATAAATATATTAAGAATATCTAACAATTACTTATTTTTTTTTTACTGAAGATGCTGTTTATTCGTTAAGTATTCTGACATGACAATGAGAAACTTAGTTCAAGGAAAGAATTACGAAATCTTCAAAAAATTATCATACGTTTTTCACACTTATTTCATCGAATATCGACAGTTATAAATTTTATTATCTATAAATAAGGTCATAACTGTTTATTTACAATCCGAAAAATAACATTACTTAATCCTAAAAATTTTGATGAAAACATAGCTATACAGTTTGTCATTCTAAACGCTGCTTTAATTAATATTAAAATACACAAAATCCTTCATAAAATTTATGCAACAACTTCAACTTCTTGGTAGTTACAAAGTCAAATTTGAATTCCTTTTTTAGTATTAATTAGTAATCCGCATAATTAATACACTATACAAAGCATAAAACATATTGTTTTTTAGTGTTTTCAAAACACTTATAACACAAAAAAAATAAAGTCAAACGTTACAATTTAATTAATGTAACGTATTGAAACTAATTTTGAGTTTGTTAATAGTGATTATTATTGTTTTGATTTTGTACACGTGTAAACTTATTAAGATTAGACGACTTTTTTACTAATTTCGTAAAACAATAGAAATTAAATTACAGTAAGTAGTAGTACCTAATAAAAATAATAACGTTTATGTTTTTTTTAACCTGTAGATATATATACTTACAAAACAATATGCAAATAGCATTGTTTTTACGATTGAATTTAAAAGAGGGATTATTGCACTCTTCTATTATTATTACACTGTACCTACAATACAAGATTACAACAACTTTTTGTTTATAATTACGAACGACGCTGCCAAGGATAACGACTTAGTACCTGTAATTAGACGGAGGATATTGTGATAACAATACCAATCACTTTTTATGGCTCGATGTAGCAAGGAGAGGTCGAGGTGTCGAATGTTTTTTTTTTGTAGGTCGTTTATTAATTGAACTTCTTTGTCTTTTAATAACATTTCACGGAACTTTAACGTCTTTGGCATTCACGAAGATAACGAAATTCTTAAACGCAATTTAGTATGATGTTGATGTATTTGAAAAAATGTAGACCATCCGTTTTATTCTCATTCCACGCATAGAGGCTGTAGCCACTTCGAGTTTAAGTGAAATTCCATTGAAAGATGATAATTTATGAACACTTAATATATTACATGTAAAAATTATAAACATTTAAAACAATTTTTTGTTGCGTACATGATGCTTTTTAGATATGCCTTTCACATTTCTTTGCCAAAATTGACGAATTTTATATAAGGAACAATTCACACAAAGCGAAATACGAGGGTGGATTGATAAGTTTCCGGCCTGACCAAGAAAAACAAGGTTTTTAAAAATTTTTTTTTTTTATTTCTCAACATAATCTCCTCCAAGGCTGATACATTTCTCATAGCGGTGTTCCAGTCTATTAATGCCATCTCTATAGACTGATTCGTCAAGCTCCTCAAAATAACCATTTACAGCTTCGATTACTTCTTCATTGTCCGCAAATCTCTTACCGCCAAGCCATTTTTTGAGATTAGGGAACAGAAAATAGTCACTCGGGGCTAGGTCTGGAGAGTAAGGAGGGTGCGGCATCAATTCAAACTTTAGATCGTTGATTTTAGCCGTCGCAACGATTGACGTGTGCGCTGGTGCGTTATCGTGATGAAACAAGATTTTTTTCTTCGCCAGATGAGGTCGTTTAATTTTCACCTCGTGGCTCAAACGTTGCAATAAGTCTGCGTAGTATTGACCAGTGATAGTATTACCCTTTGCAAGGTAATCAATGTATATAATACCTCTTGCATCCCAAAAAACAGTAGCCATAACCTTGTTCGCCGAAAAAATTGTTTTTGCCTTCTTTGGAGTTGGTTCCCCTGGTCCAATCCACTGTTTAGACTGTTCTTTGGTTTCAGGAGTGTAGTGGTGGACCCACGTTTCGTCAACGGTTACGAATCGACGCAAAAATTCGCTTGGATTACGCTTATACAATGACAAATTTGCGGTAGAAATGTTTTTTCGAATCAATTTTTGGTCGACTGTTAGCAAACGCGGCACCCATCTTGCACAGAGCTTTTCCATATGCAAATGTTGGTGCAAAATATGTTGCACACGTTCATATGACATCTTACAGGTCTCAGCTATCTCACGCACTTTCAATCTGCGGTCTCCCAGCACTATTTGATGAATTTTTTCGATCATATCTGGAGTTGTGACCTCAACGGGGCGTCCTGAGCGAGGCCCATCAGAGGTGCTCACACGACCCTTTTTAAACTCGGAAACCCACTGCTTAACGGTTGAATATGACGGGGAGGATGTCCCCAGTGTTGAGTCCATCTCTTTTTTAATTTCCTTCGGCGTTAACCCCTTCAAATAAAAGTATTTGATGACAGCACGATTTTCCTGCTTTTCCATTTTTACGAAAACCACAGAGGCGTCTTGTTCAGCGTGCTGTCAAACCTACACTAGCAAGGAGATCGGGCTGAAACTATAGCTACAAGCTATCCAAGGATGGTACTATAGAATGTCACCTCAAGGTAGGCCTAGTGGCGTCATCTCTTGGTTAGGCCGGAAACTTATCAATCCACCCTCGTAATCGCGTTAATTTTTACCTTGATTTTTGTGGCTTTTCGAACTCTCTGTTGGATGAGATCTACTGGAACTCAATCTTCTTCCGACAATCGGGCTGGCATAGAGAAGTCGTCGCAAGGAAAAACGCGAAAATCCTCGCTTTCGTTCGCGTTGTCCTGCAACGCACGACGCACTTCCGCCGTCTACATCGACGGTTTTACGCATAACTGAATGTAATCACACGAAAAAATAATGGTTGCACTCTTTATTCTCACTACAGACTACGAGAACTAGATTGGAAAACGCGAATTTGCATGTCCTTGTTAAAACAAATATATATAAACACTGTGTTAAAAATTAGCCGGTTGGAATCGAAACCAAACCAAGGAGTTAGCCTGAAACAAAAGAAAAACAATTTAAAATTGGTTGTTTTTACAAAATTACAAACAAATTATTGCAAATGACTTGGCTGCACAATAGGATTAATAGTTTATTTCAACTTGTAAATAGCTCATTGGTTAGAGCGTAGAACTGCCCCGCCGAAGTGTGCGAGTTCGAATCCCGCAGGGGTCATATTTTTTTGTTCTTTTTGTACGATACATACAGAATAAATTTTACACGTTTCATTATTCCTGAACAGAGCTTGGTATGAAATCACGTATCAACATCATTAAATACGCTTGTTAAATACGCAAAAGTGCTCGTAACCAATGCGAACGAACAAAAAAGTGAAATTATTGCTATGCCACGTACCTCAAGTGTACACCAGTATTATAAAAAGTACTTTTACTTACTTACCGAAGCCTTTTCTCTCTCATTTTTTATATGTATTAGGTACATGCATTAATGCATTTATGCATGGACTACGTACTGAATAACAAACCAACATTCAATTCAAATGCACTAATAAATATTTCTTAAAGAGCGTAAGTTAAGTAAGTACTTCTTAATACATACATGCGCTCGATTTATTCTTTACCTAATATCGCATCTTATACAGAAAATCGACGAAAACGTAGGTAGTTTTTTTCATAACAAATAATAACATAATAGGCTAATTTTAAGTTGTATTGTTTATACCGTTAAAGTTTATTACGACATAATTAATACATGAATTAAGAGTAAAGTCATGCATCACAAAAAGTAATACGTGATGTAGGATACTCTTATGAAGTATTTTAGTATAAGTATTCATTGTTTATCCGAGATTGTAATAAATAAAGTGGAATTTAATAGGATAGGATTTGCAATTATAAATATTGTATGTGAATATAAATATGAATTTTATTGACACTGAAATAAAAAGTTATTTCGGATTCCATATACTGTTTAGCATTAATTTTAAAGTTAATTACCGGAATTGCATAATTCATAAGGGACTTTACACAAATAGAAACAATTAGATGCCATAAGGTAATCTTTCCTAATAACATAATAAAATAATCATCTTCCGCCATATGCTAAAAATAAAAGTAAAATCGGACTTGTTTATGTGCACCTAATTGTTATCAATTATCGAAAGGGAATCCCCATGTAATAAGAAACACACATGCATAAAAAGTACGTACACAATTTTTATAATTAATCAATAAATTTGATGTTAATGACTGTTACAAAGTAAACGGAAAAAATGTTAATTATTTTATTTGGTACGTTTTTTAATGATCTTTGGAATTTTTCACACTGAATTCTTTCTAAAATAGTTATAGTCGGGAAATCCCGGTTGACACAGAAAGGTGAAGAACATGCAATTAGATTTAGAAAGAATTTTTAAACTAACGAATAATATTCAAAAAAGTTAACATATGGTAGTGTATTGCTATTTACAGATAATATCTGCTGATAAGTCAATATACATACATTTTACAATAATTATTTTATTGTCATCGTGTGGGTCTTTTTTTTGTGTCATCATCATAAGGTCATCAGTCCTAAGACTGGTTGGACACGTACCTCCACTCTTTCCTATCCTGAGCTAAACTTCGCATTTCCCTAATATAGAACAGCCCACATCCTTAACTATTTGCGAACAGTAATCTAATCTAGGTCTACCTCTACCCCTCCTAACTCCTGTTTCTGCCTCTAATATGTCTCTGACTAGACCTTCATGCTTGAGAAGGTGTCCTACCAACCTATCTCGTCTATTTTTTATTGACTTCCATAGAGTCTCTGTTCTCCTATTCTTTCCAATACCTCTCTTTTTTTGTGTACAATTATAAAAATTTTCAACACTTACAGAATATACGCTACACTTCACGGTTGATAATTTTAAATAATGTAACTAAAATTACAGCACGCAACTAAACCATCCGTCAGTCTGTGTGTCTGTCCGTCTGATAAACTTATTTGATTGATTGACATGATGCATCGATTCACTAATGCATTTAACAACAGAGAAAGTATTAGATTGCAGTCAACAGCTTTTTAAATGCAAAATTACAGTAGACAAATCTATTTAACGCCCCTTGCACATAGTATATTTGATAAAAATTAAAATATTAGATTTGTAGTAGGGTTAAATTACAAAAAAAAGTCTTGGAAAATAATCAAGAGAAAGTAGAAATGTGGAAAACGAAGACAATTTTCACTTACTTTCTGGAAAGAATTGAGTAATGAGAAAACTGTATAAAATGCGTGAATTGTGATAGGCCTTTTATATAATAGAGTCCTGTACCTTCAGGTCCTGTATAATTAGACAAAGACCGTCTTTACCTATCTTCTTAATAGTGGTGAGAATTTATATGGGAAAACTATACAAAAAGCGTGAATTGTGGAAGGTTTGCAGATAGGCCTTTTATGTAATAGCGTCCTGTATCTGCAGGTCCTTTATCATTAGGAGAAGACCGTCCTTACCTAGTTTATAAATAGTATAGAAAATTTATATGGGAAAACTATACAAAAAGCGTGAATTGTGGAAGGTTTGTAGATAGGCCTTTTATATAATAGAGTCCTGTATCCTCAGATCCTTTATCATTAGGCGAAAACCATCTTTACCTACGTTCTAAATAGTATAGAAAATTTATATAAGACAACTGTATAAAATGCGTAAATTGTGGAAGGTTTGTAGATAGACCCTTTATATAATAGAGTCCTGTATCTTCAGGTCCTTTATCATTAGGAAAAGACCGTCTTTACCTACGTTCTAAATAGGAAAGAAAATTAATATGGGAAAACTATACAAGATGCGTGAATTGTGGAAGGTTTGTAGATAGGCCTTTTATATAATACAGTCCTGTATCTTCAGGTCCTGCATCATTAGGCGAAGACAGTCTTTACCTACTTTCTTAATAGTATTGAGAATTTATATAAGAAAACAATACAAAATGAAGGTTTACAGATAGAACTTTTATATATTTAGAGTCCTGTATCTTTTTCTTGTTATCGGATTCCTTATAAGCAAACTGTCTTATTTTTTTTCAAAGATATTTTGCTCTACGATAGCAATAAACAGTAGATAAATTTACTCAGTTAAAAGTGCCAATCAGATAAAATAGTGCAGAATCTATCAGAATACAACATGTCACAATAATTCATCCACAGGGTAATAATTACTTAATTGCCTACAATGCCAAACGATTAAAGTTTAAGTTTATAAATCCAAATAAATGACAGATGCCTTTGGCAGAAAAAGATACAACATGTGCCAGATTCAGGTATCATAAAAATAAACAGGCGTTGAGAAATTACTGTGTGTTCACTGCAAATTTTTAACAATTTGATTTAAGCTTTCGCGGTCATCGTTGGTGTAATTGTAAACTTTTCTCCAAAAAACCAAATAGAACTATAAGAATCAGTCAGACGACCAAACAGAGCGAAAATTAACAATTCCAAAAATTCCACGTCCACAATAAACCTGTAAATTATATTACAGTTACTCAATCGTAAAAACACCAGATTTAAAGCAAGCACATTTGATAGCAAATTGCATATTTTCTTTTGTTCGTAATGATGTTGTTTTCCAATTTGAACAATGGGGTACACGTTTATCTACGAATAATGAAGTGATTTAATTAGTAATTAAGAAACCTTAAAATCGTAATTTATTCTTAATTAAATGAAAAACAAAAAATAACGTAATGGTCCAGATATATATGTACATTACTCCATCGCAAGTTAATCCTAACAAATTCTATTTCTAATTTTTTAATTCCATAACCATTTAACCTACTACAACTATGCAGCAATTAAAAATAGCTATGCTAAGTACTCATTATATTTGTGTCGTTGTAAAATTAGTCATTGTGACGACCAAATTATAAAAAGGTGAAAGTATTTTCGACCAATTACAAATTCATAATTTCCGCATCGGTTTCCCATAAAACAGTTGGAACTAGTTTCTGTAACTAGTCATAAAAGAAAATACGGTAATAAAGAAGCTTATTCAATACAAACACGCCTTAAGGCTACGCTAAATTTATTAGTTGAATGTACACGAATAAAATTAATTCCGATTGACTGCACCTCCGTATCTGTCCATTTTCATCTATACACTCGTTAAAAATAATGGTGTTACTTTTCATATAAAATAAGCAAGAAAGATACAGTCTATCTGCAGTCTAGTGCTCGTTACAGTGCACAGCAGGAACTCCACAAATTAAACTGTTTTTCAAAATCAATTAATGAAATGGCAAATAGATTTGATGACTGTAGATATTAATTTTATTGAATGTTTTATTCGCTTTCTATAGACTATTAAAGAAAGTTACAATTGCTTCAGTTGTTCAACCACAAATATAAACTGCTGCAATTGTACAATGCCCCGTCGAAGACATCAGAAAAGAATAAAGAATTAGGTTTAAAGCTACGAAAATGCTTCAAAAGGACAAAATATTTTCAGATTTCGGTCCTGTTTTTAGGAATGTTTTAATGGTTTTAATTATAAATAAATAAAACTATTATTAAATGAGTTTGTCGAAAAAAATTAATAAAAATTCTAATAAAGATAAATATTACCATATACTTCCCTTAATAAAAAATAATAACAGAAGATATAGACTTACGTTAGCAGATTTTATTTACATGCAGTTAAGTAGAATAACTTTAATAAACTACTATCTACATTACAGTTGCAATGAAATACTAGAAGTATTAACAAAAATGTCACTTTTTCAGTGAAAGTAAGTTGAGTCTCTTCATTTTGATTCCTTTTACTACAATTTTGGAATCCAAAATATATAAAACAAAAATTAACAATCGTTTAAAAGACATTTACACTTTTATTGTTGCAATTGCTTTCATAATACACTTTTAATGTTTTAACGTTAAATAAATTTTTTTTAGGTTGAAAAATCACGTCGATGTCGTCTAAACATTAGCTTGTTGCTAAACGAAGTTATATAAACCATTAAAACAAAACACTAAAAACAAAATGTCACAATATTGGCACGGATTTTTA